CATGCAGAAGGATGCTACCTGTGCTTGTCCAAACTAAAAGAATTGCTCAGTCCTCTGAAAGCATCACTGAGGACTGAGTGAGAGTGCTTTCATATATTTAGCCATCTAGGGGCTGGGATTGAGCTATGCTGTGGCTTGGTGCTGGTACTGGAGCTTTGGGCTTTGCAGAATGATTTCTTGCTGCTAGTTCCTGGAGGCATTTAATGAAGGTGGTTGACTTCTAGGACAGGCTTTTGGATGTTGTTCTGTTGTTATCTGCTTTAGAGCTGTCTGAGGTGTGCCTGGACCATGATGCAGCTGTCAGAAAGGGGAAAGATAGCAAATATCCTCCTTTCCCATTGCAGAGCAATCAGAGTGGGGTGCAAAAGTTGCAAAGCTGAGTGAAATACGGCGCAGATCTCATCAGGGAGAGGAACTGGAATACTCTCAGTAGCCAGAGTTGTCACAGAGCTTGGGAATCCTTAACTGCCCTCCATCAGTGGTGACATTTCTGCAGTGAGAGTCACTGGCCCAGTGATCTGCTGAGAAAAGAGCACTTCTCCACAAGGAAGCAAGCGTGGCCCAGCTCCTTGCAGGCTGCATAGGAAACAACCTGGCTCAGGAGCAGGCAGTGTCTGTACCATCCACCCACATGTGGTATCAGGGTTCCAAGCCACAGAAGTGTCCCTAGCACACACCCACACCCCTGGGCTCCTGTGCTGGGTCCTGGAGTTTTCAGTGCCATAGTCTTGCTGTGCAGGTCAGGTGTACTGCTACCCTGGGGCACCTTCTCCTGAGGGCCTGAGGTTGGCTGAGGGCTGCAGTGTTTTCCCTGTGCTCGTGTTTGGCTCCTTCACCTTCATTTTAGGGAAATGAGTGAGATTAAGCTGATGGAGGTAACTGTGGCCAGATGGAGTTTGTGGACAGGGAGCATACAAGTGTTCCATCACCAAGCTAGAACACATGGTATGTCCCCAGCTCTTGGACAGACAAGCTGATGGCCCTTGAATTGGTTGCCAAATCAACACCATTTTTTGAAAATCCATGAGTGCAGAGATGATCCAGTTTGCCTCTGAGCTGGTGTAGGAGTTCAGATGATTAGTGCTTATATAGAGGTCTTACTAGATATTGAGGAGTTTCTGCCTTTGAGTTGGACAGGACAAAGCTTGAGCATCTGTTTCTCTTCACACAGAAGAGAAAATCTGAATGTTTTTCTTGTTTCCTTTGGCCTTCCCTAGTACAGCTAAGGTATTCTAGCAAAGGTATAGGTTGTTTGGTTTTTTTTTTTATTTCTTTTCCTTCCTGGACTTTCCCTTGTGACAAGCTTACTTTCAACCAAGTCTGAGTGATGCTATCATTGCTCAAACCTCAGTAATTTCCATGAGAACCACCCGTCATCAGGCAGGGGATGCTGTCACAAATGAGATTTTTTCTTGTACAGATTTTCTCCTCTGAACAGCCCTTACTTTGGATCATGGTTGAACTTCACTGCCTTGCAGGTGGAAAAGGGACTGGGAGAGGACTGGACTTTGAAAGATACAGTGCTGATGTCCTGAGTTAATTATGCCTGTGGCATGCAAGGGAGGTAAGGGAGGCTGTTTGTGCAGTCAGACTGAACATGAGTTGGTGTTCTTTTGCTCCTGTGGGATGGAGAGCTAGGGCAAGGCAGGCTGGAAAGAGGGCAGCAGGTACTGACTGGGAATTGGTAGCAAGCAGGCATCAGTATGTATGAACCCAGAGGAAGGAGGGGGGAAAAAAAAGAAGAGGGTGAGTTATAGGTAGTGGCCCTCTACTTGATTTTATTTTTGAGTAATTATGTGTGGTCCTAGCTTTCTGTGTCCCTGCAAAGCAAGGAAGCTCAAGGAGACAGCCATATGACAAGCGGAATTCTTGTAGGGAGACATTGCCTGGCTGACAGAGGAAAGCATGCAATGTCTCAACCCCAGGAGACTTCTTTTTGCAGAGTCAGCACTTTACCATGCATCCTTTCTATGGTCCTCACTGTGTTTTATTTCTCATTCTTGGATTTTAATAAAAAACAAATAAACAAAAAACATTTTAAAAGATCGCTATAAGGAATTCTCATCACTTAAGGAATTCGCATCACATAAGTGATGTGATAAGGACTTCTTAGCATACCATATAGAGCTCTGGTTAACAAAATGGGCACACAATGAGTCATTATTCCTTAAGTCCATAGCTCTGTGTGTGCATTGTGCAGGCAGGTAGATTGTGGGAAGTCAGGATTTCCACACACAGCACAACCGTAGAGATATCTGCCATGCACACTTTCTCATTAAGTAAGCGTTTCTCCTCTGCTCTGCTATGTGCATGTACTACTGATGAAATGGGACAGTCACCTCATTTAAAAAAAAAAAAAAAAAGGTAAAAGAAAGTTACTGTGTGATACCCAAATTATGTATGCACTTAATAAGCATAATTACATAAAGCTTTAGAATGACTTTAATTCTGGAGATAAGTTTTGTTGCAGTTACTGAGTAATATGGGGCTCTTGGAGTGGAAAGCAGTAAGCAATAATTATGAATGGGATTTTAAGAAGCAACCCTTATTCAGGAAGTGCTGGCTGCTTTTGAAAATCCCACCTTCTGTTTTGTAGCATGAGAGCAAGAAAGAGATCAGAGCTATGAATCAGATGTGTATTTAATTCAGCAAATTGAAAAAGCTTTGCAAAGTACCAGGGGCCCAGACAACATCTGGTTCAAAGGCAATATTCCATCAACCTCTCCAAAAAAAACACAATGAAATCATTGTGATGAAGTCTTAGCAAAGCACCGATATTAACAACAGACCTCTCATTTAAAATCCTACATACTTCGGGCTGGATTACAGGAGTTTGAAGGGGTCTAGAGAAGGGAAAATAGGCTTGCTGGCATTAGTGCAGCATATTGGTAGAGCAAGCACTGGCAAAAATAAAGCTGACTTAGCTTAGAAGAATTAGAGGTTAAGTTTTTTTTTTTTTTTTTGCATATTCATACACTGATGGATATAGCAGGTGTTGTTCGAACTCTTCCCTCTATCCAATATGCCATCATCTGAAAGACATCTCAGAGCAAGAGCCAAGCACAGGGAGTGAAAGTTCCCATCAGAGCACAGAAGCTGTTGCGATGTAGATGAGTCAAACTGGAGAGAGACTGGATAGCTTTGTGGTTGTTAGTGTTAGCAGTAGGAATGCAAGCTGCAGCAATGGAAGGCAATCAACCTGCCCATTTTCCACTGTGAAATGGTGATTTTCAGGGGGATGCTGGCAGAAGTGTGGGTTGCAGCATCCCCAGGATTCAGGAGTGGATCGCTTAGTCTCTGAAACACTATGGGACCAAAGACGCCACTTGTGTTTAATATCTCTGCTTAAGGGAGCAAGGCTGTAGGGCAGTGGTCCTTTTCGTAATCAGGCACAGAGAATGGTACTTTCTGTCTTATCTGTGAGCACGTGAGCAGAAGCAGCAGCTCAGCTTGGGGGAACTGAGGCATGCTGTCAATTGAAGCCTGGGGCTATTTCTCCAGGTTCTTCAGTTGCCAGTACTGCTGTTCTCATCCTTGCCATCCACAGCCAAGACCAGTTATGCATGAAAGGCAGCAGGAGCCAAGCTAGTGGTGTGCGCGTGCTCTGGTGTGTGTGTGCAGCAGCAGTGGTGTGGGTGAAGTGTGCTCCTCTCCTGCATGGTGCAGCCCAGCCCTGGCTCCTGAGTCAGAGCTGTTTGGGTCTCTCTTCATTCTGCACAGCATGCCCTGCCCTTGGGCCTGCTTGTTAAACAGAAATTGGTCAGTGTTGCTGGCAGCAGTGCGCTTTAGCCCTCTTCAGAGCCACACTGAACTCATTCTAGTGGGTGAGAAAACTTTGACTCTCTAATGTTTCTGTTCAGCTCCCAACCTTACTTCGCTTTGCTCCTCTGTTCCCTTCTTCCCTTTATGATGCTTACTATTATTTTTCCATCCACAGCAAAACAATTCACATCAAAGTAATTGATGATGAGGAGTATGAAAAAAACAAGAGTTTCTTCATTGAGCTGATGAGCCCCCGCATGGTGGATATGAGTTTACAGAAAGGTGTAGTACTGGCCCTCCAGACTAACGTTAACGTTCTTCTTTCTTCTTCTCTCTTCTCCTTCCTCCACTTTTCCTCCTCTTCCTCTGACTTCTCTTTGTTTCCAACTGCTCTGTCCTAAGCACTGCTGTGCACGCACTGTGTCACATGGTATCCATGGAGTGGGGGAAACGGGGGCGGTAGGGGAGCCTGGGGCAGACGTCGTAGGAGAGAAAGAAAGAAGAATGGTCCTCAGTGGGTATGTTTTTCAGTGAATGTTTCCACTGATGAGAAGGGCCAAGGCAAATTCTGTAGTGCTGGGGGAAGATGCTCACTAGAAACATGGAGCATATCTGGAGCTCATCACCCAGCTGTGCTCCAAGAGCTATGTCCCTTAGTCACAGAAGAAGCTGGGGGAGGAGGCAGGCAGCATTAGGGAGGAGAAGCAATGAGATGTGCTGCTTTGAAACTGTGGATTAGGAACGCTAGCCTGCTGCAGCTAGCAGTGCTGTAACCCCACAGAGGAACATGGCTGTGAGTATGCGGCTCTTTTTTCTCAAGCTCTGAGCCAACAGTCCCTTTGTTAATTGTGAAAGTAGCAGAAACAATCAATCTTCCAGCTAAAATGCAATTGGTACCCCAGATATCAACTCCTGTTGATAACCAGGCAGCTGATACCCTTTCCAATTACCATGTGACACCGAAAAATGTGCTGCAGAAGTCGCCTCCCACTAACCATCAGCAAGGTCCGACCCCACCTTTCCCCTCCCTCCTCACCTCCCCGCCAGCCCTGTCTCCCCCTAACACCCTCCTGCTCCCCAAGGAGCTGCAACCGATGCGCCATGTCCAAGAGGCCGGCCAAGGTGCGCTGCCCTGCGGGAAGGGGCCGCACGCCAGGAGCCTGCACTGCTGCCGTCGCCGCGTCACCTGCGGCCTACCAACCCACTGTACACGGTTGTCTCTCTTGTTGTCCCTACAGGAAGACCGTAAGGGTTAAGATAGTAGATGAGGAGGAATACGAAAGGCAGGAGAATTTCTTCATTGCCCTTGGTGAGCCGAAATGGATGGAACGAGGAATATCAGGTGTGAGATCCTTTATGAAAAAAACTCAAAACAAATAGAATCAAGTCTCCAAACCCAGAAAATATAACCCTCTCTCTCCTCCTTCCCCCCCCCTTCCTTTTCTCCTCCTCATGTGGATGGATGGACTTTGACTCTCTGCCCTTCCGTATCCTCACTCTCACACTGTCCCGGCGTCACCTCTCCTTTTAGCGCCCAGCTTACTTCTGATCCTCCTTTTGTGCAATGCTTGAGCCTCAGAGACTGTACTATTTTGACGGGATTTCTTTGTCTTGGTCTGTTTTTGTTCTGAGCACACCTCTGCTGTTCTCCCCTCTCCTGCTCCTTTGCCAGGACCTTGGGGAATGTGAGAGACAAGGGACGGGCATAGTGCATGGCTGCCTCTTCGGCTCGTCCCGTACACCCCCCTGTCCTTTCCTCTGTTGTTGCCTGCCAGTGGCATTGCCTTGGTGCTCTTGGGTCCCTATGAGACGTGGTGAAAAGCCCACAGAAGAGGGAAGGTATGAGGTATCCTGTTCTGTGTTTATTTTGCAAAATGGTTCTCCGTGTCTTTCATCTGAAAAGCACCTTACTGTGTCTCAGACAACCCCAGCCTGTTATGCACAGAGTGTGGAGCTCTGTTAATGTCCAATGTGAGCATTGGTACAGTGAGACCTGGGATCTCCTAGCAGATCAGGATTGTAGTTGGTATAAACTCGGAGTTTCTGTCATGCCTTGCCTGCATGTATCTTTGTCCTTGTATATGTGTTTGACTTCTTTCTCATTGAACAAGTCTTGCCATTGGCGTCACCAGCTTAGGGGTAGCCTGGGAGAGCTGATCTTTAAATAGAGAAGCACTTTACATGCTTTTGTAAAGGAATCCTAACTCACCTTTTGGAGTCTGAAATGAAATAAAACCAGATGTGCATGCCTGTGGGCTTATTTCTGATCCCTTGTACTGCTGATGGTGATAGAAACATCTGGCAATTTCCTGTGCATCACACAGCTTTCCCTTGTTGAAACATTTCCGTCTTTCTTATCTCATAAGTACAGGAACTATCCTCTAGTCAGTCTGAGCCCTCCTGCATGGTTCTCCAGGACATTTAGGATAGACACAGCTTGCATTAGCATGACAATGGCACATAGTGTCTGTGGATTTGTAAAATGTAAACCCCCAAACCATTAGTAGTTTAGTGCCATTAGACCATCCCATGCCTCCCCTGGGTGGTGACCGACTTGAGGTTTCTCTGCATGCTGAGCTCAGCCCTTTAGGTTTCACCAAAGTCCAAAGCTTTAGTGAGCATTCACTCTTAATCAGAAGCTGTGATAAGCCTGCCATATCCCATGGAGGTGTGTTCACTCCCCTCCACTGTAAAGATGTGGGCATGGCTCCTGACTAGAAGTTGCCTGGCTTCAGCTTGTAGCCACTAGTTATTTTCCTGCTTTTCTCCATCAGATTTAAGAACTATGTAGTGTGCTGCATCTTCTGGGTAGGTGCTCACTATATCTATATTACACTTAAATTTCTTCTTGGAAGGAGATTCAATCTTTGAATCTAAGACTGCAAAAATGTTTTCTTGTGCTCTAGAAGACCTCCAGGGTCTTCTCTCCACACATGCCCCTTCCTGTCTATGGGGCTCATGCCTCTGTGTCACTGGGTACACGAGGGAAAGCACTGCTTCTGACTCCCTCCTGCACATGCAGGAGCATCTCAGTGAAGTTCCTGCTCAGTTGTTTGCCCTCTGTGAACCCTGGATCCTTTTCTAAAGCAGTGAGACACAGATTTTAGCTAGGGTAGAGCTGGCTTTTGTTAAATCCTATGTTTCTGTTTCCTGCCTAGGCTACCATCCTCATGGTTAACAGGACAGTGATGCTAGTTTGCTGTACTGTGCATGTCTCATTTACACTAGCATCGCTGATAGTCAGTGGGATTGCCAGATCTGTCACAGGCAGAGAGATCTGTCGGATTACTTGTTCACCACACAGCCTGCACAAGGCAGCCACTTCCACCTGAGGTGAAGGTGCAGCCTCAGCTGGACTCTGCCTGTCAGAAGGAAGTGCTGGACCATGAAGAGGAGGCATGGAGCCCTGGTTGGCCTCAGTAGAGAAAAGTCAGAGCAAGAGCTGTGTGTTAGTAAAATCTAGGAGACAGATTAAAGCACATCTGTAAATATTCCTGGCACAAGGTGGCACAGTCGCTACACTGATTCTAGGGCACTTGGAAGGATTCTGCGCTCTGCAGAGCTGCACAACACAGCCTCTCTGGTGAGCTTATCTGGAGCCTGAGATGATGGAATGAGGAGCTCAGCAGCACTGGGAGGGACAGCCAGCCACTGTCATCACCAGCAGCGTCATGGATGGCTCCCAGTGGAGAAGGCTGTGCAGAGCGTGGACTCTCAGCACTCATGAAGTCATGTGCCCGTGTTGCTGTACTGCATCACGCATGCTTCTACCTTGAAGGATGCCCAAAGCAAGGCCGTGGCAGCCTCTTCTGTGCAAAGAGGTCTGTACAAAGCTGGAAGGATGCAACTACAGGCTGGGAAAAAAGTCTCCGCACACTGCCATGTAGCTGGGACTTGGTTTCAATGCAGTGATGGATGGGACCCACAAGACAAGGGCAAAGTGTGGCTCCTGGCTCTCCTGGGAGGTTCAGGCTAGTTGCTTTTGGTGAAGTCTCTCTGGGTTTCAGCTACTCACACTTCTTTCTACCACTGCAAAAGACGTGGCTTTCTTGACTGTGTGGCCTCATTTTGTTATTACTCCTCACTTGGCTCTGCCTCACTGTGCCTGCGCCTAGAGTGCTGTAGAAGCGTTTCATGTTTTCAGACTGCCCTTCGTGGTGTCTTCAAAACAACTCTTCTGGCCCCCTTGGGAGCAGGATTGTGTTGCATGGCTCGGCTGGCTGCCAGCCATGCTGGGAAGCAGCCTGCCGCCCAGCTGTGCTGAGGCAGCTTCTCCATCCCTGTAGTGCCTGCAGGAGGGCTGTGTCATGTGAGTACCACACCTGCTCTGAGCCTGCGGACATGCTGCTGTTAAACTGTGCCGTAAGAGTTGCTGACCGCATACTCCATTCCGTGCTCTTCTTTCTATATAGATGTTGTGTGTGCAGTACCAAACCCTGTCTGGCAGCCCATTTCTTCTTTTTCATCAGTTGCTTTCTGCAGCTACAATTTCTTGAAGACTTTCTGGTCATCCAAAAAGTGCAAGTTGGCGTTAGCAGCTTTTTTATTGATGTACTCAAATAATTCAGAGATCAGATAGATCCCTTTCCCGCCTCCTTTCTGGCTATACTTTTCTCAGCACCTTTTGAAAGTGTTCCTTCTGTGAAATGAGTTCTTTGCTTTATGACAAGATGCAGTATTTTGGTTTCACTGTTACTCCCATGGCAGCTCTGGTATGGTGTCCCTGCTCAGGTCAGAGATAAGTTTTTACTACTGCCAGCCCTGCAGGATGTTAGAGAAATCCAGCCTGTTTTTACTTTCTTCACACATCAGCTTTCACGGTTTGTCCATAGCCCTGGATTGTGGGAGCAAAACTTGCTTTGCTTTTCCTGGAAGTAATCAGTCTTTCACCTAAATTGTGGTTAACCTTAGGGTTGATAAAGCCCAAATGGCTGCTTTGGAAGATTTCACTTGATAACGGATAATGGTGAAAATCACTTCTGGAAAATTGTTTCATGAGGGTGATTGGGAATCTGCTCATGAGAATCCAACTAGCGGTACAGTGGCAGAAAATTCAACCCCAGGGATGGAGTGCTGATTCTACAGCATTATACTCTGTAAAAGGGACCAACATCCTTCATGCAAGATTTTGCTTCAGAAACCATGATGTGACTACGAGATATGCCTTCACTGGAAGTGGGAGCACAGGTGGTTTTTGAGCACTGTTAAATAAGTAGCTGGCTTGGGAAGATTTTGTCTGAAATCCCCTTCAGCCTTTCCAGCACAGCATGATGTGGTGTGGATGGATGTCCTGAGACATCTCTGTCACCTCCCTGTACAGGAAAGCTTCATTGCTAAGAGGGCAGATATGGCTGGAAGTCAGAGTGAGGATTAAACTGCAAAGAAAGATGGATTCCTAGATTGGATAGATCCAAACAAGTTATCTGTTTCCAAATGTTGATGATGGCACAACTGGGTATAAAGGTCTGTGCTGGACAGATAAGCCACATCGATACGGGAGGATTTGTGTGGCAGCTTTCTGTGGTATGGGCAGGTTCTGAAAAACTCCTTCTTCCATTAGCTGCTAATGGGAATATCAAATAAATGTTAGATTGCTGCTGCCTTTTTCCCCAAAGGTTTAATAATTTGTTGCAGTTCTGTGATTAAGCTGACTGCTGCTGATTCTCTTGATGGACAGAATGGATCATGGTCTGTTTCTTGGAGTTTCTGCCATTAACTTCAATAATAACAGGATTAAGGCTAAAGCTTCAGAATCTCTGCCTTGTTTATCTAATGAAAAATACACGTTCATAGCTCTTCACAGTCCTTTAGGAAAGCAGTTCACTCACTTCAGTGCAAGCTAGAGCCGGAGCCCATGGGCAGTGCAGTGAGCCCTGCTTTGGGCTAGTGGGCAGGTAGTTTGTAGCGTGGTGTTTCCTTTGTATGCCCCAAGGATCCAGGCCGTGCTCTTTATCAGTGACATCAACAGTGGAACCGAGTGCATCCTCAGTAAGTTTGCAGAGCTGTTTACACTAAGGGTGGTGAGGCACAGGCACAGATTGCCCAGAGATGCGGTGGATGCCCCATCCTGGGAGTTGCTCAAGGTCAGGCTGGATGGGGCCCTGAGCACCCTGACCTAGCTGTGGGTGTCCCTGTTCATTGTAGGGGAGTTGGACTAAATGGCCTTTAAGGGTCCCTTCTAACTCAAATGATTCTATGATGGTTTGTATTCACCTTTTCTCTTGTGCTGTAGATGGGGCTCTCCTCCAAATCCTCAGCCTACCTCATTTCCATTTGCTCTGCAAGCAACATGCATTTAACCACCTATGTGGATCCTTTTAGCTATGTAGCAGCTTTTTGGAATTGTTAGGTACATTGATTAGAGAAGATTTATGTAAATGAGCAATAAGGCCAGAATAAAGCATGCAATGTGGTGAACCCTTTTTGTGACGTAGAAAGAGCAGAAGAAGGTATCTTATTATTCAGAAAACATCTGAGCTTTTGTGGTTTTATTTGTGCAGCACTCCCTGTGCTTGTTCCTTTCGGTATGTGCCGCTATACTCTTTCCCTGTGGAAATCAAGGCTTTGAGTCTCCTGAGAGTCCAGGGGAAGGCAGTATTAGTGCCTATGGCCTTGTCTGCAGGCGCAGGTATTTGTCTGCACACCTGCTGTGCATGGTTTAGGCAAGGGATTTTCAAGACTACTCATCTGGATTTGGCTGCTGAGCTAATTTTAGCAGCTGCCTGTAAGGAGATGCTTGCCAGGCCTCTGAGGCTACCTGATATGCCGACAGCAGTGCTGAGATGATCTGGCTTGGGCTTGGGGTGGGACAGAAGAGCAGGGGTGGAGGAGAAGAGGTGTGGGGAGAGGCCTGCAGGAGCAGCACAGGGGTTGCGGGAAGCTGGTATAGGTACAGCATCCACAGACAGACTGTCAGTAAGCTGTACGGGTCAGGACTGAGGGCACATTAGTTGATGCATGTGTGGGAAGGAAGCTTTAGTCTGTGAAATCATTTTCTTGCTTGCATGCACAACGTTCACTCAGAAATATACAGACAAAATAATCCTTTGGCTTTCTGCTTGCTGTATTCTTAATGTTTCATTCATAGCTTTATAGGCTTCTTCAAATATTCATGTATCATATCATAAGTGAAAGGGAGAAAAATACTTCTCTTGCAGGCTCAAAGCAAATGGGAAAAAAATAAACTCAAATCCCAGAGTGCTAGGATAACATTTTTAAAAAACAGGAGGAACCAATGATTTTTATTATTATTTTTTTAATAAGCACGGTAGCTCAGGGGCCCAGTAATACTTCATTATATTAAATTTGAACAGTGAGCCGACCCATTGTACTAATACTTGTAATTGCAAAAGGAAAATTAAATTACCTCCCATTGTCTGAAGGACCAGTAGACTGTGGAAGAGGAAGGAGGCCATAGTATGGAGCTAGGACAGAGCTACGAAGTCTCGGGGGCGATGGCCAGGGCCATTGATGGTGCCGAGCAGTGGGACTGGTGTTGTACGGTCAGTGTCTCTTTGCAGCCTTCAGGGCAGGGTTTCTGATGGCACGCAGGTGAGCCAGGACACAGCAACGCTCCCCCGGCTATGCAACCTTAGATAAATTGCTTAGGAAATCACTTTCAAACAAGCATAGATAAAATTAGGTACCTCTGTGCAAAGGTGCCTGCTTCTCTGAGGCCTGAGCTGGCAAGCCTGGGTAAATTAGCGCTTTTGGACTCCTGCCCATTTCTGAGTTTGCAAAATGTTCCCTTTAGCCTCTCTTTGCTGGTTTCACCATCTGTCAAATGGGGATGTTAATACTGACTCAGTCTTTGTACAGAGTTTTAAGCTTCTGAGACTCAAAGTGCGTGATAATAAGTGTTAGTAATTACAGTACCGTCATAGCATGCAACTGAATCTCTGGAGACAGCTTGCTGCTTGAAGGACAAGCAAAAGTCATAGCTAAGGCACAGTGCTCACTACTTTTGGAGAGGATTTGGTATATTTTGCTGTGTGATCTCTCTTACAGGCTTCACTATGGTTATTCTGAAAGCTGGGCCTAGACTGTGGCTTTCTAGGGGGACCCCCATTGTATCCAGACCTCCCCTGGCGAGGCTCTCGCTGAGCTGCAGCTTGGGTCATGCCAGGCCCTGATGGCAAGCGTGGCTGTCCCCTGCTCCTTTCCCTTCCCTTCCCCACCTGCATCTCATTCCTCTGCCTTTGCTTGGGGGGTGATTTTTGGGAGCCCTGATGCGGTGCTCACCAGCATCACTTCCATGTTGCTGCCATGTCCCTAGCCTCTGCCTGGCATGTAGCCCTAAGCAGCTCACACATCGCATTGGGCCATGGCCATTGCTCACTGAATGTTGTCTTCTGCTAAACAGCTTCTCCTGCTTTTCCCAGTGCGACATTAACTTTCTCCCTGTTTTCTTCTTTCTCTCTGTCTGTCTCTTGTTGTTCTTCTCTCCCCACAGCTCTGCTGCTCACCCAAGGTAAGACTGCTTCTTCTCCTTTCCTCATCCTGCTCTGCCTGTTTTTGTCCTCTTTAGTCAGCCCTGTCTGTCTGTATTTGCTGCGTGCAGGAGCAAGGTACCACCCCAGCTCCAAGTGCTCCTGTCCAGCAGGGGCTGGGTCAGAATTGTGCATTAAGACCATAACATTACTGATGCCTGAGAGCCTTCCTCCCCATTCCGGAAATTTCCCTGCAGTTTCAGCAAATGGCCCAGCCAGGGCCTGCAGCTTTGACCCCAACTCTTCTTCCTGAGGCAGCTCCGGGGGTTTTGCTCCTCATACATCGGGTTTTCCTGCAATCACAGAACCCTTTGGCCAGAGCAGGCACATGAGAGGTCCCCACTGCTATGCCGGGGGCCACTCAGTGCCAGCAGCACAGCTGAGATGTGATGGGCTCTTGATCTTCACCTCCCCATAGCAGCATTTACCTTTATTAGTAATTTCATTGCCTGAAATCCCCATTATGCTGGTCTATCTCAATCACACATAGTGGTGATTTATGTCTCCTGTATTTTCTCAGTCCTTCAATCCCAGGTATGATTACAGTTCAATTTGCACTAAAGAAACATTTATCAAAAGCTCAAAGCCAGGTGAGCAGGGTGCAGGGAAAAGCTGGCAGCTTGGCATGCCAAGTTGAAAACCAACAGCCTTGTGTGTAGCAGTAGAAGCTGCGAGTCCTGCAGTGGCTGCAGTAATGTGGGGGCTGTTTGCAGGCTTCAGAACCCCCAAGAAGAGCTCTGTGCTCCTTTGGCTCACCATGGACCGTGGGTTTTAGTAGGCTTTGTTGCAGGTGAAGTCAAAGTGCTGATTGCATTTATTCATAACACCCAAGCTATGCTGCAAACTGACAGTATCTCTGCCATGAAAGCTTCTGTCTCTGCAGTTTTTAGGAGGATGCCAAATGTGCTGTGCAGGGATGGCCTGAGCCTACGGGAGATGGGGCTAATTAGGAAATTGCTAGTGGCAGGCAGAAATCCCTAGCTCCCCAAGTATCAGCTTGGGGTGTTTATGGAAAACTCCTCTGAGTAGTTTGGATGGCTTCCTTTGTTACTCTTTCAACTCCAGGATGACTAGGAATAAGTTGAGCACAGCCTCCTTCCCAGTAATTTCATTGCTTTAATTCAGTAGCTGCCTAATTTGATCAGAAACTCGGGAACCAAATAATCTGTGTTAAAATAATATAACTTTCTCCCTCTGTTGCAATCCAGCTTGATTGCTTTTGGCAGCTGTTAGTGGATACTGTGGTCACCAGCTCTAAGAAGCTGATCTCCAACTAACGGTGAGGTTTGTGGGGCACAGCCTCCTGCTGTCCCCTGTGCTGGGATGCCCCATGCCCCTGGGGCACACAGTGAGTACTTGGCCGTGTTCTGGTCTGGCAACACTCGCTCCTGGAGTATATTGCTGGAATGTCACTCAGCAGCCATCATGGCTAATAAGGAGAGAAGTGATGTTCTCATTTAGTCCATGTCATGTTAGATTTAGGTTACACAGAAGTGCAGGAATCTTTGTAAAAACAGCTTTGTTGAGAGTTCTGGGGGAGTCTTCCAGTCCTCTCCCTCACAGACCATTTCCCATGTTCCCCTTCCCTTGCATGGCACAGCCCCTGCTTGCCATCTTTTTGCAGAAGTTCCCTGCATGCATGAAGAAGAACCTGCATGCAACACAGATGGGGAGATGAGCCCAAGCGCGAACACGTTTTGTGTCCAGGTGGCCTTTAGTTGGAGAATATTGGAGAGCCTGAGTGTGCCAACCCCTGCAGACCTATTCCTGGGAAAACAGGGCTGTGAGTTTCACACGAGGCAGCACTGCTGGGCTGGGAAAGCCTTTGGCTCAGGTTCTGCTGTGCTATTTGCGTTCACCAAACTCCAAGGCAGACTTCTGAGCTTTTCTTGGGCTTAGGATGTTTGGATTCTTAGCTGTATGAGGAATTACCAAACTTTAGCTACTTGTCTACCCTCATTTCCACATATTCATCCAGATCAAAGAAATAGTAGTTCTAAAAATGTTTCTTTGTGCACTGAAATTCATGGGCCCGCTTTCTGCATGTGTTGCTGCCCGCTTTGTGGTAAGAAGGCTGAGGAGCAGGGCCACCAGCAAGGGCCTGAGAGCAGGGCAGCAGGGAACTCATAGAATCATAGAATAGCCCAAGTTGGATCCTTGGGTCCCCGTAAGGAGTATTAAGTCCAACTATAAAATCTGTGCATTGGCTGTGTTAGCACTCCTCTCATGGATGCACAGTTTCCCAGTTAGCACTAAGGACACTGGAGCGTGTATGTCGGATGCATCACGCCTCAAAAATAGCTTTCAGAGCTAAGTAAGCAGATTCCTCCCATTTTAGAGAGTGGCACAGGCTGTGCGTGCATGTGTGTGTGCATGTGTTTCTTTAAAGGGCATATCAATATGCCAGCCTCCACTGCCAGTGCATCTCTTAGCCAGCAGCCTTCCCAAGTTGTGACTGATAGATTGACAGTCCTCTGGAGAGCAGAGCTCATTCACACGCTGTGTTTATTTTGTGTAGCTAGGATTATATTTTATTGAGCCGCAACAAAAATCCCACTTTAATTGTCGCTTTAATTTCTTCCTTAGCAGCACAGTCCCCAGAAGGGGTGACCTTCATGCAGATCTGTGCCCACTCTAGAAATGGATGGATATGAGATAGCTGGAGGGGTGTGAAATGGCCTTCGTAGCAGTCTTTCATGAATGCATTGCTAGTTTTAATCCAATTTATTCAGAAAGTGACAGGGAATGGAGACTGGCCCGTGGCTGTTTGGTAGTCTTGCAGCATTTCCTAGGTGATAGGCATCTACCTCTCCAGCAGTGTTGCTGGGCCTTGCCATTGCTTGTTTCAGCGCAAAGCTGGCAGTGGACTTTATCTAACTGATTTACAATGTACCCAGACAATGTCCAATTCCCACTTTTTCCCAGTGCTCTGAAGGGCAAGTGAGCATTCAGGTGCAGTGCATGCTGTGGGAATGCTGCTCTGCTTTCCCCTTTCCTAGGGGAAAAAAACAGAAGGAGCTGCCACCCAGCCTTTGCTCTTGCAGACTGGCAGGTCTCCCTTGCCTGTAACAGCCCACGAGCAACCTGGCATGAGGAGCTGATGATGAGTACCTGGTGCATAAGACTCAGCTTGTGTAGCCTGAGCAGTCTGCTCACCTCCTGTAGCCCAGATGGGCTGTTATTCCTTGGTGGTCACAGACCTACATCCCAGTGCAAACAGGGTTTTGGGGACGGCTCTGTCCCCACCTTCCTCTTCCTGGGGAGGAGGTGACAGCTGTCCTGGAGGCCCTGGTGAGCTCCTGTTCTTGCCAGGCATATCCAGACCTTATCAGGCTTAATTGGGGTTGACAGCTGGGAGTCCAGGGTACAATCCGCATTGAGGAGTAGGTGCAGATGCTGATACAAACAGAAATCAGGCTAGTTAATAATTAAGCTGCAGTTTGGCAGAGTTCACCTTGTCAGGTTTGACCTTCCAAATTAAAAAAGTCTGTCTCTCTCATCCAGCTCAGCTGCTGGGCCTCTGCTTATGGGGCTCCACTCAGCATCCAGTGGGAACAAACAGAATCGGCAAGCTCAGTTTGGTTTGTGTCTTAAGTTAGGATGAAAGACTTAGGTTTAACATTTTCAAATTTACCTCTGAAATTTGTTAGGTTTCTGTACTTTGCGTAACAGGTTCTCTTTCCTGTTGCATATTTGGAAATATTCCAGATGTATTTCTGCTTTTTGCAGCCCTGGGGCATGTCCAGAGAAGGGCAGCAAAGCTGGCGAGGGGTCTGGAGCATAGACCTTATGAGGAGCAGCTGAAGGAGCTGTGAATGTTCAGTCTGGAGAAGAGGAGGCTCAGGGGAAACTTTATCGCACTCCACAATGAACTGAAGGGAGGCTGTAGAGGGCTGGGGGTCAGCCTCTTCTCTTGTGTAGTGATAGAACCAGAGGGAATGGCCTCAAGTTGTGCCATTCAGTTGGATGTTAGGAAATATTTTTTCTCCAAAAGAGTGGTCAGGCGCTGGAATGGGCTGCCCAGGGAGGTGTTGGAGTCACCAACCCTGGAGATGTTCGAGAAATGTTTAGATGTTGTGCTGAGGGATGTAGTTTAGTGGGAAATATTGGTGATAGGGAGACAGTTGGACTGGATGATCTTGAAGGTCTTTTCCAACCTTGATGATTCTATGATACACGAGTCGTGCAGGAATCATCTCCTTTTGCAGCTGAAGTAAGCTTCCTCTGTGAACGTTTCTGTGAGATACCCTATCAGGCATGCTACATGTCAGTTGACACCTACTTGCAGCTCATATCTGAGGGTTTTAGCACGGGAGTGGTATTCAACAACCTGCCTGCAGTGGACACCCTTGACATGGCTTCTTGGGTGACCACATTTCTTCCTCAGTGCTACAGTTCACTGTATTCACTACAGAGGAGCTGGGTGGGGGCAGCTGGACCTCCCTTACTCAAGTCTTGGGACATGCTGTCAGCAGGCTGCAGCTCTCCAGCTCTGGCCATCACCTGGCAAGGCCTCGGTCATGAAGGTGCCACTTCTACTGACACTTCACAGTACTGCACATTCCACAGACACCTGCCAGCAGTCAGAGGTCCTGGGCACAGCGTTCTGTGTAGCCCTGGATTGGCCTGCTCCTCAGAGTGCTGCTGCAGCTCTCGCACTGCCCTGCCTGGCGTAGGCACATCAAACAGCATGAGCAAGGAAGCAGGGGTTGAGATAAGTCTGTGTCAGATGCTGCTTCCCGCAGGGAGGAGAGCATGTTCTGTGGTGCGTGCATTTAGGGACCTGTCTGAAGATGGCTAAGATTTGCATGAGACTCTGTTGTCTTGCCATATCAGAAGCTTTTGTCAAATCAGTTAAAGCAGGGACTGAGATGTTTGTGTGTTGTTTTTTTTTTTGTTGTTGTTGATTTTTTTTTTTTAGCACTTCTCCTGTCGTTGTTAAGCTGGGGAAATTTAATCCAAGATTCCCAGCCTTCTGGGAGGACACTTGCTTTCTTTCTCTGCTACATGACAGGAGCTGGTGGGCAAGAGCCTGGTGCTGCTAGCTGCAGCCCATGTCTGCTCTGATGGTATTACTTTCCAGGGAAGGTCATAGTGAGCCAGATTGCCAGCAAATCTGGGTTGTGCAGCCCTGCTGGGATGGCTAGCTGTTGTGCTTCATCCTCAGCTCCCTGCTGTGGGTACACACCAGCACCATCTGCTATGCTGGGCCCCTGAAGAGCTGTGGGTGCTTCCTCCTGTGAGCTTTTAATTGTGGGGGGGTGAGCCACACTTGGAACAACTGATGTGTAAGCACCCGAATCTTTGATGTTAGATACAGCTTGTCATCCTCATACACTTCTGGATAGAGGCAGAGACTAGATTTTCTAGGTCTCTGTCTTGGAGAAAGAGATTAAGGCTGCACAAACTCCTTGTTCGTGTGAATATAAGTAGCTTGAATCTTGCCTCCAAATGTAGCATACAACATAAGGTTTCTCAAAGTATCCCCTCTGGAGCCACTTGGCCTTTGCCTGCCATCATCCTCTATCCTTCCACCACCCTGAGTAGCTCCAGCTGCTCTGCTCTTCTGTTTCTGTCAGTACTTGTAAACTTCTGGGGATTCCAAATCCACAGGACATGTGTTGGAGTTAGGCAGTGATGGTTTTGATGTACTTCATTGATTTCGAGTGATGGATGTGGTTGTTTGTGCTTCTGTGATGGGCTATAGGAATACCACTTGACGTAGGAGTTCTCGTACATCTTATAAACCCTGCAGTCAGTCTCACAAGGCTTACAGTCTCTGCAGTCAGTCTAGCAGGGCTGACAAAGGGAAGGCAGAGTTTACAATTGGATTCCACTGGGAGTTTATCACTTCTGTGCAGTTTTGGTGAGGAGTAAGAGATCTGCTGGAGTCCAAGTGGGATTGGTCACATCTGAGGCATTACCTGGGGTGTCTGTAAACTCAACAGGAAGCCTTGGTAATACCTGACCCACTACTTGGCCAGAATGGGATGCTGTTCCTTTGTGGTACCTCCCCAGATTCTGCTGAGCTCCCACAACTCAGCATTTATCATCCAAGAGCACCAATGCAGGCTGAAGAATTTTTTTTCTTTTTAGAGACAGCCATGCTTTATATGCTCTCAGTGACTGATAGGCAAAAATCTTGGTCCTTTTTTCCCATGGCCCAGCACTCCACCCCTGCCCCAGGTCTCTGTGTTACTGCAGGGAGCTGCAAGGGAGCTGCTGCCTGCAGCTCAGTGTTGGTCTTGCTTTTGCAGAAGTGGCTGAAAGGAAGCTGACAGTTGAAGAAGAGGAAGCCAAGAGGATTGCAGAGATGGGCAAACCAATACTTGGCGAACACCCCAAACTAGAAGTCATCATTGAGGAGTCATATGAGTTCAAGGTCAGTGGTTGTCCCAGGAGTCCACCAGGGGGGGAAGCTGTGTGGCAGTGAAGAGCTGCCATGGAAAGCAGGGTTGAGGAGGCCAGGTATGGCTGCATCTACAGGGGGAGGAAAAAGAGTGTGTGATACAATAGAGGGTAGGGAAAGACTAAATAAATGCCAGGAGATGTAGCTGCTGGTAGGCAGAGGTTAAGAGAGAAAGACAGGGGAGTCCTGCTAGAAGCAGATGCCACCATGCCAGAAAAGCAAACTGTGCAAGGCAGGATTGACAGAAAGGAGCTGAGCTTTGGAGAAAGGAGTACCAAAAAAGCAAACTCTGGAAGTACAGCTCATGATATACTGGGCTGGGAGTTACCAGTGGGTTCAGCATGGGGCTTCTGATAGGAGCATTTTTGTGGCACCACCACAGTTTGACAAGGGGCAGAAGGGAAGGTCAGCTTTGCCTGCTAGCAAAGGGTCTAATTGCTGTGCATCTTTATTCCCACAACAGAGCACTGTGGACAAGCTCATTAAGAAGACAAACCTAGCTTTGGTTGTAGGGACACATTCCTGGAGGGACCAGTTTTTGGAGGCCATCACCGTCAGTGCAGGTGAGAGGGAGATCAGCAACTCCATACCAGCATCCCCTGGGCATGTGCAGCCAGGGATGAGATGTGTCGGAGCTTATGAGGCAGATTCTTCCAGTCTCTGAGTTAATCTTTCCCCTCCAAGAGGTCACTTATACCCTCACACAGGTGTGACACTTCTTGCTGGGAAGGGTCCATCAGCCCATGATTTGGAGCAGGTGGACCAAGACAGCCCTCTAGTTTCCCTCAGTGGCACTCATTTCTATAACTTTCTGCTGTGTGATTTCGTGGTGTCTCTCAGCAGTGATTTCCACAGGGTAACTAGGTACTCTATGATGGTCTGTGGCTGGGGATGAGAACAGGACAGCCCCTGAAAGTATTGCTCAATGTCTCACAGCCACACAGGGTGGATGTGTGCTCCTGAGGTGTCCTAGGAGTCCTTCCATCTTGCTGAGCCCCACCACTGCCACTGAGGGCTCCGGCAGCTGCTAAGTCCCACCAGCTCATTCCCATGGTGGTGGCTGGCACCAATGTGGTACACCTCCATGCTGCTTTGTGTGGGGAGGGAGGCAGCCCCCCAGTCTTGCACCCAGTGGCCAGGCTGGAGAAGTGCAGCAGAAGGTGGGTGGCCATGAGGCTCAATCATATGAGCTGGACCTCTTATTCCATGTTTGCAGCAGGTGATGAAGATGAGGATGAGTCTGGTGAAGAGCGCCTGCCATCCTGCTTTGACTACGTGATGCACTTCCTGACCGTCTTCTGGAAGGTGCTGTTTGCCTGCGTGCCCCCCACCGAGTACTGCAATGGCTGGGCCTGCTTTGTTGTCTCCATCCTCATCATTGGCATGCTCACAGCTGTCATCGGTGACCTCGCCTCCCACTTCGGCTGCACCATCGGCCTCAAGGACTCGGTGACCGCCGTTGTGTTTGTAGCCTTCGGCACCTCCGTACCAGGTGGGGAGGCTATGGGGAGGGGATGGGGGGGTCCAGAGGAGATTGGGGTCCATGTCCCAGCTGTCTGGTAGCACAACTGAGCCTCCCTCATCCCCCAGCATGAAGGGTTGCCCGTTTCTCCTGCTGGACCCTGATGATCCCTCCTTCCCCCGCAGACACATTTGCCAGCAAAGCTGCAGCCATCCAGGACGTGTACGCCGATGCCTCAATCAGCAATGTCACAGGCAGCAACGCCGTCAACGTCTTCCTGGGCATTGGGCTGGCATGGTCGGTGGCGGCGATCTACTGGGCGTCACAGGGGCAGGAGTTCCAGGTGTCAGCCGGTACCCTGGCCTTCTCTGTCACCCTCTTCACCATCTTCGCCTTCATCTGCATCAGCGTTCTCCTCTACCGCCGGCGGCCCCACCTCGGGGGAGAGCTGGGCGGTCCCCGGGGTTGCAAACTGGCCACGACGTTGCTCTTTGTCAGCCTGTGGCTGCTGTACATCCTTTTTGCCACCCTGGAAGCCTATTGCTACATCAAGGGGTTTTAGGCGGCAGAGAGACGGTGCCGCCGAGGGAGGGACCCCCTCCTCCATTACCTCACCGGACACCGGCCCTGGATGAGTGGTTTCACCAGGATGGATGGCTGTCAGCTCGCCACCCTGACAGGTGCCAGGATGGGCAGATCCATCATGGGACGATAAAGAAATCCACGAAAACCACCCCAAAAAATGATGCAAAAGAAAAGAAAGCAACAATGGCAAGCATTTAAAGGGACAAAATGAAGTAAACCCAGCCACTGACTCCAATCCATGTGACTAAGAAGTCTCAGCCATCTCCCAAGGCCACCTCTCCCACAGGTTCGTTTCCTCTTCTCCAGAGCACCCCTCCGCTGTAAGGAGATGCTTTCTTGTTTTTACTCTTTAGGAATTGCAGAAGTCTGATAGGAAATTTTTTGGATTTTTTTTTTTTTTTTTTTGCCTATTGCTTTATAGTTTGGGGGGGAGTGCACATGGCTTGATTTTTTTTATTATTATCATTTTTTATTTTTTTTTATTTTTACTACTTAGACAGAAAAATGTTAGAAGTTTAAAATCTAAAGCTTCAAGCTGCCGTCAGTGCTGGAATCGAAGGTGTACTTTTTGAAGCCACAACAGACTCTGACACTGTCAAAGAACTTTTTCAATCTCACAAGTTTCCTCCCCCGCCTCCATCCATTTCTTTCTTTTTTAAGAGCATCACAGGACTGATATATTTTTAATACAGACACACACATACATACACACAGCACACCAGTTCAGTGATGAAGGCTGAAGCATGTAGCATCTCAATCACCTGCCTGGGCTAAGAAAAAAAAAAAAAAAAGGAGGAAAAAAAAAAAACCAAAACAACCAACCTTCTAATATAATATGTATAATGTATATTTTGACTATGGCATTTCTCTTTGTGTAATTAACTTTGAGCTTGTGGTACTGCAGGAAGAGAAAATGATGTTAATGGGCGAGAGGTAGTGAAATGAACAGCGGCACAGTCACAGCTGGCTGAGGGGTCCGTGAGATTGCATAGGCTGCTCAAGATGGGGGCCTGGCACAGCCCTGTCCTGTAGGCCTCAGTGGATGTGGGAGTGAATCCCAGTAACACACTGCTCTGTTGTACCGAAGTGAGCAGGAAGCCTCCGTGTGTCTCCCACAGCTCTCTCAGCGCTGGCCTTTCAGGTTGAGGTTAGGTCTAAACACGCAGGTTGGTGAACAGGAATGGGGTCCTTGTCCCACCCATCACCCCCTCATGCTCCATGGAAAGGACCAGGCTTCAAACTGCTGTCCACCCACAGTCCTGTGCAACCCCAGCACACCCCCGGAGAGCAGACAGGCAGACAGGCACACCCTTTTCATCTCAAGTGCTTTTCTTTTTCAGGAAAAAAAAACAAAAGCAAGAATATGAATTACATGAATTACATCAACGGCTGCAAATCAAAATGTTGGGTTGGTAATAAAATTAAATAAAACTTATACCTATATCTATATAAACAGTTCTATCTATAAACACATTTCTTAACTGAGAGACCTGGAAGACGTTGTTAAAAACCTTGCTTTTTTAAAAGTGTTTCCAAGAGGAAGATAATTTCTTCTATCAAGAAACAGGTGCTGTACAGAAAAATCCGTGACTTCGCTAGCATCAGCCAAACCCAGGCAGTCAGCACAGCACAGACTGAGGGGCTGTCAGCATACTGGAGTGCTTCCTGCTGCCCTTGGAGATGGTGGCTGCAGGTGAGGGCAAAGCAGCAGGAATTAGGCTGTCATGGATGGAACACGCATATCATTATAGCAGGTAAAAAGATGTGTGACATTGGTCCTTAAAACACAGAGGAAAATATTTATTTTCGTACAAAAGGTTTATTGAATATCTCGCTGTATAAATGTGTGTAAGCATGAGGCAGAGAAGAAGGATCCATCTTGCAGGAGCTTTGCAGGTGAAGTGCCCTTCATGGAGGCTAAAGGGAAGACGGTCTACTGCCTCTTCTCCTCCCTCTGTGGTGGCTTTTGGGGGAGGGCACAAGAAAGAGGGGGATCCTGCCAAGTGAGTTGGTCTCTCTGATATCTGGCCATGCCACCACCCATCGAGCAGCTCCTGCCGGCATTGGGCACCACTTCTGCTGCCATCCAGGCTGGGACCCCATAGCACAGATGTGTGACTGGTGAGGAAAAAGGAAAGAAGTCCCGACAAATGATCTCTGGATGTGTGTGTAGGGGTGTTTAAGGTGCAACGGGATTATGTTATCATTGCAGTTTTTAATTTGGACATGTCAAGTCTGTTGTTATTTTAATTATATCAGTTCCCCCATTCCTGGCTAAAACTCAGGCGTGGGGAGCTCACTGTTATGCAGTGCTGTTATTCTGTTGCTTGTGCTGTATCGGTCATGTGCTTTTCATCTGCAGCTTTCTTAGGCTCACTCTGTGGGAGGGGGTGCAGGGGGATGAGCATCTGTGACTGCCAATTGCATGGTGACTTTGGTGCCCTCGATGCACTGTGGAGACCTGTGCCAAGCTGACAACTTCAGTGGAGTGTTTATTTTATTTTTCCTTTTTTACTTCATTAAAAAATATGCAAGCTTAAAAAAAAAAAAAAAAAAGCAAATGTTGTGCCTTGGGGATTTGTTTTTGCTGAGGCTTTTATGTTTTATTTTTGGTTTGTGTGCTTGCATCTGGGCAGGTGTGTGGACACCATCGCTCACCCTGCCTGCTTCACTCTCTGCCAGCATCAGGTTTTGCTGGGAGGATCCAGCAGCAGCTTTACCTTTGATGCTTTGCAGAGGGGAACTTTTGCTGCTCTGTTTTCCTTGCTGCTGCAAAAAAGGCAAAGCCATTGCCTTTAGTGTCAGTGACTGGGTTTGGGGTGCAGGGTGCTGGAACCCCCAGCCTGCCTGGCTCACTGTCACCACTGCACAGAGGCAGGCCAGCACCCAGAGGACTAGGTCCGGAACCTAAGGATGCTACCCCAGAGAAAGTTGGGCTGAATGGGAGCAGACTGCAGGCATTGGGAATCAGCTGCAGTACACAGTTAAGAACTGAGTGGCTGTTAAAGCTGTTGAGCAAAGTTTTTAAACCAGGGAGGAGAGCATTTGCAGCTCTTAGCTCAGAGTTTCTTACCTTTTTGGTAGTTACTGTTGTGTTAGTGTCATCAGAACTTTTCTGGACAAGCACAAATTAAAGACAAAAACATTCTGTGATTACGTTTTCTCTGATCTCACAGCTGTGGCTGCTGGACTCATTTATAAGCCACTTGTCCCTGGTACCAGAGGACTTCTCCACTCTCCATCTTAAAGCAGCAATAATGCCTCAACCCACAGCATCATCTGCAAGGAGAAGCCACCATCAATCTGCATGTGCCACCACCATGGGCTTCAGTCGCCTTGGCCCATTGCTGTGGTAGGATGACGCCAACTCACATGCCTTCCCCAGCAGAGCGCTTTGCTCTGGGAAGGCATTTGTAAGGCTGCTGTGGTACCTCTAAGTGGTGAGAAACAGAATAATAAAGGTTAAAAAAACCCACTAAAGTCATCAAGTCCAACCGTTGGCCCATCCCCACCATGGCCACTAACCATGTCCCTCAGTGCCACATGTACACATTTCTTGAACACCCCCAAGGACGCTGACTCTACCACCTCCCTGGACAGACCATCTTCAGTCACTTTTTGAACGTGTGGTGTTGCACAGCTACAGGTAATCCTCGTATCATTCACCTGATATTGCTTTGGGGTTGGGCATGGCAATATTTCTGGGTTTATTCAGCTGGGGAATTGTCATGGCCACGACCTTGGTGTACGAACAAGCCCACATGAAAGGGAGCAGCAGTTGCTGAGCCCTGGCCACAAGCTGAAAAGCACTGTCACCAAGAATAACCTCTGGAATATTGTATGGAAAAAAATGTTTTTAATGACTGTTGTCATAATGTGTGTGTGTGTGCCAGAGGCAGCCTGCTTGTTAATAGTGTTATTTGTGACTTGCCTCCACAGGGGGGTGGGGACGAACGTCCTCTCGGTATTTAAGTGAGCTATTTACAATATAATGTCTAGATAATTAAAACCATGAGTAAATGACTCACCGATATTAACGCCCTGAGGAGTTTACCCAAAACACACACCCCTCTGCCTCCCCTTCCCTGGGAGTCCATGCTTTGCCTCAAGTGGTGGCTGGATTGGGTTAGTTTTCCTCAGGAAAACCAAGATGTGCCTCCAAGAAACGATGGCTTGAGCTTAGACACGGAACCAGCAGGTATGACATGATGCTGATGAGCTCATCACCTATAACTAAGGATGCACCGATGTCTCACAGTGCCATTGTTAATGCCACTTACATGGTGAGCTGAGTGTTGTAGCTAAAGGAAAAATCATTACCTACCCACCTCATCATTGCTGAGGGTATACTCAGAGACTGGCCCAATTTAAACAATGCAATAAAGAAATAACACAGGTCTAGAAAGTTAAATTTAGTCTGACATTTAGGTAAATTAAAGAACTAAACCCTTTAAGCAAGATTGTATTCTTTTAGAGTGTGAATTTATAATTCATATAATATAATTGTGAAGTTATAAATAAATTCTTAGGATGACCTCTCTGGTGTCTCAGGAAATAGGCTTCATTACAGGAACACTGGTCGTGTTTTCTGAAAACGACATGCATACAACTTGGGTGCACAGAAAAGATGTAGGAAAGAAACTCAACATTAAAGCTGAAAAGGGGCCTTCTTCTCTCAAGGACACCTCAGTAGGGCATGCTGTAGAGACTACTCCCATGGTTGTTCAATAAGCTTTTAAAAATGTAGCAAAAGAGGTTGCATAACCTCCTTTCCTTCAATAGCATTTTGCATAGAAAATAACAGCAAAACTAAATGGTTTTCTTTTGCCCTGATGACTTTTTCCTTCTTGTTTTATTCACAGTGGCACGGAAAACCACTGATTACCATCACTCAGAGGAGTATGCTGGATGTTAGAAAGACCTTCAGGTTCTCTCCTTTCTCCTCTCTCAGCTTCTAAGCAGTATTTGCTACTGGATTACATTTTGTTTGTACATTTTCCTCAGTAATCCCATGGCAGGTCATTGCATACTCCTTTGCTGGAACTCATCCTGCTGACTTGGATGGTTTCTCCAATTTATCAAGCTTTCTGGTTCTACCCTTCCTAAGTGCTCACTGCCCCACGCAGTTGGATGCCACCAGGACATTGTATAGCAAAGCAGATTCCTAAAGCTGCTGATGAAAATACTGAATAGACCTGGACCCTGGACAGACACTCAAAAGACTTGCCCAGAAAGCTCTCTGACTTTGACACTGAGCTCAATGTATTGTGAGTCTAGGTTGCATTTCCTCAGCTTGCTTATGAGAATGTCTTCTGGGATAGTGCCAGAAGCCTTCCCAAAGTCAAGATATATCACATCTCATACCGACCCCAAAGCAATGAAGCCAGTTATCCTGTCAAAGAGGGAAATTCCATTGGTTTGATACGATTTGTCCTGAACAAAACATCAACAAATCCATTCCAGCCATTTTCCACACACTTATACATGTATTAGGTAATTAAGGGAGTAACTGTTCAGCACCTCACTCTTAGAAGTTTTCACACAGAGACACCATTAAAATATCAGGTCTGTAACTCCCTGATTTGATTCATCTCTAGTTAGGTGACCTTGTCTTACCATCCTTAAGTCCTCTGGGAGCTCACATGTATTCTACAATGCTCCAAAACCCATCCCATGTGAGTCAGAAGCACTTGGGCCAGTACTCTGAATTTTCCACAGTGAGCTTCACCTGATCCTGCTGCCATTCTCCTTAATGATCCAAGTATCACTTACCTTGCTCTTTCTCCTCATCAGGGGGGTTGGTGTGGTGTTATGCTCTTTTCT